AAGTCTAGTTTGCCCATATCAATTTTCAGCTAAAAAATCAACCGGGAAGGCAATCAAATGATTTTCCAAAATGTACTGCGCTGTTTAATTGCACAGTTATCTTCAAAAACTCATTTGACTGTCTTCCCGATTGAATTTTTAGCTGAAATTTGGTATGGGTAAACTAGACTTAATGAAGAAGATGCTCAAAAGTTTTCATCAAAAAATTCCACCGGTAACCGTCCCAATTGGCGACGGTCGGGCAGAACCTCCTATATAAGGGGCTAACTGAACACTTAAGTTAGTTCAAGGACCTATTTGACCCTTTAGCCTTTTGTTTATTACTACATTAATTTTGGTTATATATTTGGAATTATTTCAAATAGAAATCACCAAACAAGTGAGTTACAAGTTATTTTTCTCGTAAAAATAGTTGATACAGTTCGGATGTTTTTAATTTTACTTGAACTGTTTGTAGTCCCAGACCAGATCTGACTAGACCAGACAAAACTTGGACAGTTATAAAATACAGAGGGAACAAACTTTACCAGACCAGTTCAGACCAAACCACCAGACCAGAATTAATAACACCTTGATTAAGACTTATTAATAGGGATTTAAAAAAAAAAACAATGTTGTGGATGTCCGGAATACCACATTTCAATATCATTATTCACTAACCATGTGAATAATATAAAAATGTTATTAAATGTTTTTTGTGAACTGACTTATTTCATTTTTATAGCTAGTAATACGGAGTAAAACTTATGCAAATAACCTAATGCCTCCTTTTAATACATTTTCTTTGTTCAAATTTACAGTTAAATTAACAAAACATTCCAATTTATTAAGGGAGTTATCACTGTGGCACTCCCAAGGAGGAGGTCACAAGTTCGAATCTCATCCCAGTTCAAGGATGTTGACATTAACATTGAGCAGATACTATATAGGTTAGAAGGAATTGTCCGAAAAAAGGTAGTTATCAAAATCATAAGCACATCATTGATTGGTTTTACTTTTCGGTCAATGTTTTAAATTGACTAAGAGACTGTTTGGTAACATTGTTTTTTTGCTTATCAGGCTTATCAGCAAACTTTTTCACCAAACACATAATTTTTGCTTTTGCGCGCTGAATTGTGTAATTAGCAGAAAAAGTAAGGTTGAGGTTACTTTTCTGGCTGTATTGGTTGAAGTTACTGTAGATGATCATTTTAGCTATGTTTATATACAATTTTTTTTTATTTTATTACTACGTATAAAATATATTTTAAAAATATTTTTTTCTTAAATCAGCAGAATCAACCAATGCAGCCACTTCAGCCAAAACTTTATAAATTTCAGCCAAATCAACTGATTTGCGTGCTACCAAACGGACTCTAAGTCATTAAATTGACCAAGTTAGACCAGTTCAAATCGAATCAAATCACAATTTGAAAGTTTTGAAATGCATACATACACCAGAATGTATTAAACTTAAACAGACCAGACTTCAATTTAAGACATCTTTAGATATACAATTTTTTTAAGTGTGTGTGCGGAAAATCGCATAAAATCACCATAATTTCCTTAATTAATTGAATAAGAGTAAAAATTGTGATTTACTAAAATAAGAGTAATACATTTTTTTCCTCTAAATATAATTAATTAATACCATATTTGGAAAATAATTTTTAGTATGACATTTGAACTAACACATTAATGGTACAATGGCAGTGGCGGATCTATGTTTTAAGTTTTGAATCATCATTTATTTATAATTAAAATTTGAAAAGATAATAAATAATTAAACTAAATTTATACATGTTTACTAACATATTTTTCAAAATGTTAGGTGTTCATGTGAACACTCTTGAACTAAGGTGGCTCCGCTACTGTACAATGGTAATGTCAAATTATTGCGATGTAATTTCAGGATAACGGTAATTCACTTTGAAAAATTAAGGAAATTTATAGTACTAGTATCTCATTTTAAAAAAAACACACACACACTATTTTTAAGTCCAATAAAGGGAAGTTCCCCAAAAATCATAAGTATGGAGACAAAGATAGAGGTTTACAACGTATTGCCTGTAATGCACTTCAATTCATCAGGTCCATTGAGAGTAGACAGAATAATATCTCAAATGAAAATGATAGTGGTAATTAAGTGGTAAGGAAAATATCTCAAATGAAAATGATAGTGGTAATTAAGCGGTAAGGAAAATGGCAACAGTCATGAAAATGGGATTATTATGCACATTATTACACTTTTACCTCGTTTTTATTACACTTCATTTTTAATAAAAACCTGTTCGTAGAGCTTTGTCTAATGAACTACTTACCCACATTATTGGGAAAAATAATAAAAGTACCCCAAACTTTCAAAGGGTGTGAGGTAAGCACCTCAAATTTGCATATGTAATTTAAATACCCCAAACTTTATATAAAAAGTTATTTTCACACCATTGTCATGTATTATTTCTTTCAAAAATGTAATTCTATGGAGTTAATTGCATAATTTAAAATAGCAAATTAAAAATGTTGCAATTATATGGATTGGGGGGTAACATTATTTATTTCGCAATGGAAGTTAGAATGTTAATTGTGTCTTCAAGAATTCTAAAATATTTTAAATTTTACAATTAATACCATAAGTTTACATTTTTGAAAGAAATAATATTTGACAATGGTGTTAAAATAACTTTTTATATAAAGTTTAAGATATTTAAATTACATATGCAAGTTTGAGGTGTTCATCTCACACCCTTTCAAAGTTTGGGGTATTTTTATTATTTTCTCCCACATTATTACACTTTCACTTTGTTTAATTTGATCCCTTTATTATCTGAACATTACGTACTCTATAGTCTGGTCGCATCATTATACTAATCAAATTGTATCTCTTGGAATCATTTTAGACGAATCATCATTACTTGTTTAAAAATCGGAAGTGCAAATTAAATATGATACGTAACTCAGAGTCATTTAGAAAATTAGTGTAGCAATAATTTAGAAGCGACGACCCCGAAAAAATAGTGACTTGGTAGAAACTATCATGTTTAAAAGCTCATAATTAATGTCAAGCTTGGCAAAAAAAATACTCTTATTTAGGAAATGAAAACATGACAGTCTTATATATTTTGAAATTTAAAATTTTTTTAACGTGGATTTTTCTCTAAATAAATGTATTAAAAAAAACATATTTCCTCCCATTCCTTACCCTTGAAATAAATTTTGCCTTATCCACTTTTAGGGTTTGTTTGCAACAGCTTTTGCTTTAAAAAAAATGTTTTTTTTAATGAAATGTGGAGAAGTGATTAAATAAAAGCTGATAGTGTTTGAGAAAAAAGTGATTTTGAAAAGTAAAAGTGGGTAGTGTTTAGTAAAATAAGTGTTTTTTGTGTAATACAAAAAGTAAAAGCACTTTTGACGCGGAAGCAGAGAAAAATAAAAGTTTTAGTGTTTGAGAAAATAAGTACTTTTTTAAAACCAAAAGCTGAGAGGTGCTTTTTTAAAAGCAGTTGCAAACCAACCCTTACACGTGCACATATCATCTCATTTTCTTCATTCCCGTGTTCCGTCAAAATATGAGTTTAATGTGAGACAATGGCAAGGGTCGGAATGATCACCGGTTCTGGACCGAGTAAGGGACCGTGTTTCTTGCCACATTCAATATCAGAAACCTGCATGGACAAGTTGTAATACCGATCTGAGGTTCAAAATTTCATATTTAGAAATAGCCGACAGACAGACCCCGGCCCGATCTCAATGACTACACTTTTTTCTTTTTTCTTTTTCCCTTATGGATTGAATAATGCCCAAAGGCTAATTGGAGCCATACTACCACCAATGGCACCAATGGATATACTCCCTCCGTCCCATTTATATTGTCCCGTTTTATCTTTTCGGGAAGTCCCACTTAAATTGTCTCATACCATATTTGACAAAGTTTGTGTGGCTTTAAATCATTCTTACTTTATTCTTACTTTATCAATTAATATCAACCACACAAATCCACTTTTCTTAATAACCGTACCACCAGGGGCGGACCCAGGATATCCATGTTGGGGGGTTCAAAATGTTTTTTGGGGGCGAATATTATTTTTTGAGTGGGCAAAAATTATTTTTCGTATATATATACCCCAAAAAAAATTTGTTGGAGGGGCGCTAACCCCCCTGGGTCTCTACTACGGTCCGCCCCTGCGTACCACCCTCTTCCGTCCCAATATAAATGAGACAGAAGTAGTATGTCTGTTGGGGCTGGGGTGGGGTGGAGAAAACTAAAACTATTAATACTCCCTACTATTTTTCTTTTCATATTTATACACTTCAACTATCTCAATATCTCTCGTTCTTCAATATATAATCCACATATATACACTACTACTCTCTTATACGAAGTAAATTCATATTTTCAACATTCATGTTATTTAATATTCATATTATCATACACTTGTTCATATAAATCTCTAATTCTCACATGTTCATCATATATATATATATACACTCTCTATTACTATTTCACCTCCAACTTACGAAATTTTATTTGTTTCACACACACACATTATTCAGATACATATCCATGTTAACATGGAAGCGTCATCTGTTATCTCCCTTGCAATGTTAAGTAACTACACTTTCAATAAGAACACGTCAAATGACTTGGTATATGCACAAATCAGCACAATGTCTTCATTGTCGAATGATTTTATATTAGAGAAACAAGAATGCAACTGTTACGGTATGTTACCCATGCATTTCCTTAATTAATAAGCACTCATCATTCATCCATGCCAACAATTAATAAGTATATTTTGTCTTTTATTAATTATTCAAATGTTATCCATGGTTTACATATTGAATAAGGCTTCATGCCTACCATTTGATGTTTGCAATCGTTTTAAATTTACCGTTTTCATTTATTCTTACGTTTTGAATTCGAATTTCAAGTGCTCTAGACTTTTGGGTTGGACATGAAACATTTTTTTGTTTAAATTTAATATAGTTAGTGTTAGGGCAACTGAAATTAACCGAAGAGATTAGCCCAACGTGATGCATTTATTATTTATAGTGTAAAATACACTTATCCAGTAAATCTTGGTAATTACATACATCTTAACATCCCCCTTTAATACCAAGATTTACAAACAAAACAAGAAAAACAATGCTAAGTTTACAAACTGACTACTCTTAACATTTCCTTAAACTTCTGAAAACTTTCAGTCTTCAATGCCTTAGTAAAGACATCTGCTACTTGCTCAGTTGTGCTGCAATGGATCAGTTGTACTCTCCCCTTATTAACTTGATCTCTGAGAAAGTGAAACCTTGTTTCAATATGCTTGCTTCTTAAATGAGTAATCGGGTTCTTGGCAAGGTTTATAGCAGACTTGTTATCCACATAAAGTTCCAGTCCACTATTATGAACCTGATTCAATTCCTTAAGTAAGGACAATAGCCATAACCCTTGGCAAGATGTGTGACAAGCTGCAATATACTCAATTTCACAAGTAGACAATGCTACAACATCTTGTTTAGAGGAGCACCATGACACAGGTACATTCTCCAGAAAGAATACATACCTCATAGTGCTTCTTCTATCTACCTTATCACCACACCAATCCGAATCAATATATGCAACTAACTCCAGTTCAGAATCTTGAGAGGAAGCATGTACATTACTAGCAAATAAGATTTGACACCTTGATGTCCCTTTCAAGTACCTCAAAATTCTCTTGGCTGCAACTAGATGTGAGTGTCTAGGTTCTTGCATAAACCTGCTCACCATACCTACTCCAAACATAATCTCAGGCCTGCTGTGACACATAAACCTCAGACAACCTGGCATTTGTCTGTACTGAGTTGCATCAACTCTAGGTTTGTCACGCCCCAGACCGTAATCCAAGCGCGTGTACAACCGCCGTATAACTAAGTGGCGTCACCCACGGGTCAACCTCACTTAATTACACAAGGCGTTCGAGAAAACAATCCATCCATACTCAGTAGTAAACATACATAACAACATCACATTAAACCAATGAATAGCGGAAATATTCAACGGTAAGTCATGGGCCACAACCGGCCGACAACATGGGCATGCAAGCCCCAAAAATAGTTTATAGTAAAACAAATATCCATGAGCAAGTGTTCGGTAGTTTGAAAGAAAATAAGGAAGCACGAACCACGTCTCCCTGATTTGATATCACCCGTGAGAAGGTGCAAGTAGCAAGCTCTAGCTTCAACCTGAAAATGGTGGGGCCCCCCGAAGGGGTCAGTACAAGTACCGAGCGAGTAGCAGGCTAAATATAGAATAACTAGCGTTTCAAGTATAAGACCCAAACATAGGGTGATACTTAAATAAATAATTTTTCCCCCAAGTTATGAAATACTTATTTGTATAAATATACTTGGAAAATATCCGATCCGTAGATCACCATTTTATTTGGGAAAAATAGTAATAGTCAATATTCTTGACTAAAAACCCCAACCCACCCATATACCTATGAGTGTATAGGACTCCTCCTTGTCCCTACTTGTATATCACAATCTATGAGTTTTAGGATCATAACCCTTGGATACTCCACCGGTTTGTGAGTGTTAAGGACTCATAAGTCCTAGGGTCCTCCACCAAGTTTTGAGTGGTAAGTACTTTTAAGTACTAGGGTCCTCCACCAAGTTTGAGTGTTAAGGACTTTTAAGTCCTAGGGTCCTCCACCAAGTTTTGAGTGTTAAGTACTTTTAAGTACTAGGGTCCTCCACCAAGTTTTGAGTGTTAAGTACTTTTAAGTACTAGGGTCCTCCACCAAGTTTGAGTGTTAAGGACTTTAAGTCCTAGGGTCCTCCACCAAGTTTGAGTGTTAAGTACTTTTTAAGTACTAGGGTCCTCCACCAAGTTTTCCTATGATCAACCTCCTATCAACCTAGATAGAGTCTATATCATCCTTAGTTACTCATAACTAATCCAATACATAAATCTTATGTATCACAATCCATGCAAAGCCATGCATTTATATAGGTTTATAATTAATTAATACCAACCGGTATTAATTAAATCCTTTGTTCTTCGGTCCACGTTTTCGTTGGCCGCCATTTCATGCCTTGTGTGTATCAACTTAATCATCATATAATTAAGTTAATAATATTCATTTGTGCTTCTAATACACTTCAAACAAATATGCATTTCATATAATTCTTCATATCATATTCCATGCATCAACAATAAATTTCCTTCATACAAACTTAACCCTATTGGCTAATCACATGTTTAAATTTCTTTTAAACATCATTATGAAATCATATAACATTTATTTAGGTAATCTCATAATTAACCCAAAAGTTATAAGATATTAAGCCGTCCACTCACCTTGAACTAGCGTATGAAGTTCTACCCCTCTTGGTTGAACTCCGGTGAAACTCCGGCGACTTTCGGTCAACTCCGGCGACAACTCCGGCGACTTTTCCAACTTTGTGAAATCACTTGAAATACCTTTCACAAGTTCCTAACAAGGTTTTATAATCATAAAACCCATATTAATACAAATAACCTCAAAAAGGTTATCTTCCGGTGAACCGGTCGTTTTGGCTTCTAAGTCCGTTCTTGGATATGGAATCACTTTCCAACCCATTAATCCATACTTATAACATGTAGAACCCTCTTAAGGATCCTTCACATGATATATATTTTATATGGTAGGAGAAGAATAAAGAAGTAGTTATAATAAGGTCATTACCTTAATTATTTCACACTTTTAGCACTTTAGCTCCTTTTTGGGTGATTCTTCCTTGATGATTTCTCTTCAACAATGGAGGGAGGAGGATGAGGAGCTTCCTTGCTCTTGATTGCTGTGCCTTGGCCGAAATAGAGAGGGGAGAGAGGGATGGGGATGGACTTTTGTCTCATTGATCTAATGAGTGCAAAAATGGGGGTCCACCTAGGTACTTTTGATGCCATTCCCTTCTTATCAACATCCTCCTCCCATGTTCTCTTCATGCACCAGCCGACCCTCCCTAAATTTTGAGTGGAAAAATCGTGGGTTGGCCCCCACTCATGTGGGAGGTCAACCCTTTTTGTCCCGAAGTGTACAATTGGTCCCGAAAGTTGTATTTTTCGGACTGTTTTAAATATATTTTACTTTATCGGGTCAAATAAAATATATTATGTGCTCTTACTCATTATGACATGTATAATGAATATACATTCCCCAACTTTAATTTATAAGCCTCCGAAATTCAGTTCGGGCTGTTATCCGTTAAATTACCAGTACCGGTAATTTGGGCTTCTTTTGACGAATCGGTCAACTCAGGGCCTTTCCATGGTCCAAATGAAACATTCACCACTATATATTTATTATCTAGACCCAGATGAATAAAATATATGGTCTTGGGAATGTCGGGCGGCCCCCCGCTCCAGGTGTGCGCCCCACGTGCAATTTACTATTCACGCGAAAGAATAATAAAAATTTACAACTTCGTAAATTCGTAAATCATTCCATAAGGTTTATTACATCATTTACTTGAAAGTAAATACATTTGGGGACGGTGTTACAAGGTTCATTACTGCAGCTATCTAGTTTGCAATTCACTTCCACTGGGGTGTCAACTGGATTGTAGTCCTTCATCCCAAATATCTCCAATACTTCAGAAAGATATTTTTTCTGACTCATGATTATTCCTTGATTTGTGGGTACAAACTCAATGCCAAGGAAGAAAGAAAGTTCACCTAGGTATGTCATTTCAAATTCAGCCTTTAATTTCTTCTTCAAATCTTCTACTTCACTTAAGTGACTTCCTGTGATAAGTAAATCATCTACATATAAGAAGATATAAAGAATGGAGCTTGATTCTTTCACCTTTATGTATACCCCATGTTCCACTATACATTTCTTAAAGCCAAGTTTGAACAGAAACTGGTCAATTCTCTTGTTCCACATCCTGGGTGCTTGCTTTAGCCCATACAAAGCCTTCTTCACTCTGAATACTTGATGCTCCTTGCCTTTCACTTCAAAGCCTGGTGATTGCTTAATCAACACCAGTTCTTCAAGTGAACCATTCAGAAATGCTGATTTTACATCTAGATGCCATAAAGTCCAACCCCTCTGACTTGCTATGGCAACAATCACCCTTATAGTCTCAAATCTTGCAACTAGAGCAAAGATTTTAGAATAATCAGTCCCTGGTTTTTGCATGAATCCTTTAGCTACCAATCGTGCTTTGTATTTGGCTATGGACCCATCAACACGTGTCTTTACTTTATAAATCCATTTAACTGCAATAGGAACTTTACCTTTTGGTAAGTCTGATAGTTCCCAAACTTGATTTTTCTTGATACAATTGATTTTTTCCTTCATAGCATTCAGCCAAACATCTTGATGTATAGCTTCTTCAAAACAGATAGGATCCATATATGCTATCAAAGCTAGATATATAAGATCACCTCTTTCATTGATTTCAGAATCCCTAAGGGTCTGAAAATCCCTCAATCTGTGTGGTAGTGTCCTTTTTCTGATAGGTCTGCTATGTATTTCTTCAGTGTGAACCATTCCACCAATGCCACCATCTCCATTACCATTGTCATCATTTGAGGGAGTTGAATTAGTCAGATCATGAGTCTTCAGGATCAGTAATAGTACCCCAGTTATTCAGTTCATCAAAAATCACATCCCTACTGAGTTCTATCTTCTTCTTCTTAGGGTTCAACAACCTGTAAGACCCAGTAGCATTGTAGCCAACAAATATCATTGGTTCACCTTTGTCATCAAGCTTCATTCTTGTTTGATCTGGGACATGCTTGTAGCATAGACATCCAAAGACTCTGAAATGAGTTACAGAGGGTTTGGATCCAGACCAAAACTCTTCTGGGACCTGATTTAGCAACCTTTTTGTGGGAGATCTATTCAGTATGTATACTGCAGTGTATACATGATACACTTGTAATTTCCATATGTTTGTGTATGTTTTTAGTTAGTTTTTGTTGTTTGATGGTTTGGAAATTACAAACTTTTGGCCAGAGGTGGACCCAGTAAGGGTCCCATGGGGTCCCGGGACCCTGTGCACCTCGAAAAAAATACCTATATGTATTATACATATATTATATAAAATTAATTACTAAGTGTATATTTACATGAAAAACGACCTAAGAACCAAAAGAATGGAGCGGGGGGAACGGTAGCAACGCGTGTTTTAGATTTCTATGTTTGGGAGGGGTACCATGTTCGAATCCCCTATGCTCCTATTTTTTTCCCAAAACTGTTTTCATCAAATAGACCAAAACTAAGTTGTTGTGGCCTATTTTAATTTTAATTAAATAGACCAAAACTTTCAGTGATGATTCTATTATAGAATATTTCCAACAAAACTTTCTCTATTTTCCAAAACTATTTTAATTAAATAGACCAAAACTACGTCGTTTTGGCCTATTTTAATTGAATAGACCAAAACTATTAGTGATGATTCTATTATAGAATATTTCCAACAAATGAAGCTCAAGAGGGTACATCTCTGAAATTGTTAAATGATTTTTATATGTATTATTTTGCTTTATAATACCTTAATGTATTTTGGGCTCCTTTTTTGTTTTCCAAAACAATTTTAATTAAACCAAAACTACGTCGTTTTGGCCTATTTTAATTAAATAGATCAAAACTATTAGTGATGATTCTATTATAGAATATTTCCAACAAACATTTTTTGTTTTCGAAAACTATTTTAATTAAATAGACCAAAACTACGCCGTTTTGGCCTATTTTAATTAAATAGACCAAAACTATTAGTGATGATTCTATATTTCCAACAAATGAAACTTAGAATTGTTGAATGATTTGTATATGTATTTTTTTCTTTATAATACCTTAATGTTTTGATGGTGTACGTTAACTATGAGGTGTTATGCTTCTTTAATATTTTTTATTAGTTTTATATTAATTAGAGATTAGAGATATAAAGGGGTAGGGACCCCGTGGTTCCGACTTTCTGGGTCCGCCACTGCTTTTGGCGTAATAGTTATGTTTGTAAAATAGTTGTAAATTGTTTAGATTAGGTTTATTGTGAACTAAAACAGGTCCAGGATCAATCAAATGATCACTGGTGAGACCAAAAGAGGAATGAGGGTGCAAGAATACAAGACAAAGAATGAAAGTTCCTGATTTTGACTTGTACCCGATCGGGTATACCCTATAACCGATCGGTTACCTACTTGATTTTCAATCAGATCACTTCAGGAAACAAAGGGACGTGCAGGGAAAGATTTGGCCATGATCAATTGTTATACCCGATCGGGTACACCGACACACCCGATCGATTATACCTTTAATTTCAACCCTGAAATCGATCGGGTATACCTTGAATCTGAGTTTTTACACATACCCGATCGGGTATCATGTATATACTCGATCGGGTACCCGAGCTGCGGGCATTCCCAAAAGCCTATAAATACACCTCCTTTCCTTCACAATTAGATACCAATTCCTATACACTTCTAAGCTTAGTCTATATAAGTTCTTTCTTTATATTTTCATTATGTTTAGTCTCCAAATGAGGAGTTAAACTCTTTCATCCTGGTTTTGCTACTTTGAAGCTTAATGAATTGTAAGTTGTGAGTTATTTTCTTTAATCATCTTCCTTGAATATTAATTAATTCATATTCCTATTTCATATTAATATTTTGAGCATTACTTAAAGGATCAACTAGTTTTGTTTCATATATTAATTATTACTAGAATCGATCGATTAATACGCTCGTTATTAATTCGGTCCTTTCACGGTAGTAAGCTTGGGTTGTTAATGCATGCGTCTCATCAGGGCCGTGGATAAGCCTGTGCAAGCAGTGCCTTTGCACAAGGCCTCCAAAAAAAAATAGGCCCATTTTTTTAGAAATAGTGTATATGATGGAGTTGCGGTGGATGATGTTGTTGCCGATCTCGCATTTGACGACGAGGGCGTCCCTGTGGGGCAAGGGGCCCAAGGGGAGGTCCTTGTCGGTGAAAGTGATGGCTTCTATATTCCGCCGCTTCGGCTGTGGGGGGGCGTGGGTCACCTCACCAACGTATAGGGACTGAGCCCATTTTTTCCGTTGGGTAGCCGAGTCCCCCCCTGTGTTCCCGCCGACGATGATGTGGATGTGATGCTTCTTCTGGCGGGACTCCTCTTCGTCCTCATCTTCACTGAGGGCGCCGATCTCCCTCTTTTTCCCGGAGGATCCTTCCCCCCTTTTGCCAGGGTTAACCCAAGTGTTACTCTTGGGGGCACCCTTGACAAATTGGGAAAGTTCCCCCTGTCGGATGAGGCCGTCGATGTGCCTCTTCAAGGTGGTGCAATCCTCGGTCTTGTGGGATGTCTGGCGGTGGTACTTGCAGTATGTCCCTCCTTTGTGGACCGCGAATATCTCCTCCTCTGACCTGGGGTCCTTCACAATGAGGCCCTGCGCCTCGGCGTGGTCGAGGACGACGCTCACCGGGTGGGTGAGGGGGATGCGTTGTGCTTCCAACTTTGGACGCCATGAACGATCCTCTCTTCGTTGTCCGCCTTGCTCCTGGTGTGCCTTCCTTGGCTGGTGTTGTCCCTTGTTGGCCGGCGGGTGGTGGGGGTTGGACGAGGAGTCCTTCTTTTGTTGCTTCTCCCCACCCTTTTTCTGGTTCAGGAGCTCGTCGGCATCAGCGTGCCTGTCTCCGCGTCGGAGCGCCGCAAGGTATGACCGCGGCGGCTCCGTGAACAGGCTCCGGGCGAAGTGGCTGGGCCGGAGTGCTCCGCGGAGAAAAGCCAAGAGGGTGCGCTCATCGGCTCCTTCGCATTCATCCGCCTCCCTCGTCCAGCGATCGAGGAAGGCTCGGAGTGTCTCTTCTGGTTGTTGCTTGATGGTCAGGAGATGGGCGAAATGCTTCTTCGCACGCTTCCTCCCGGCAAAGTGGGTGAGGAAGCGCTGAGCAAGGTCCTGCCATGAGTCGATGCTCCCCTCCGGAAGATTGTTGAACCA